GCTCCTGATGCCAAGCACTGAGCATGTGGGTCGCATGACCTTAGATCTGCGCGTGTTTGCGTACGAGAACTTTTTGGAGTACATTGTCTGGACAGTGCGGGAGCGAGATGTTGGGCTAGGCGCCCTCAGTGGCTACCGCAGTGCAGTGAAGAGTTTGTACATCGATCAAGGCGTTGACCTCCAGGAGCCATACGACAGCGACATGAAGGTTATTTTTTCGGGTACATTCATGGTATTTTTGCAAAAATGAAATACAGGTGGTTTAGGGATTCGAAAGTCCATCGCCCAGAACCTTCAAAGTGGATCCGAGGAATTTACTGGCAATCGTGCAATGTCGTTCTCGGTGTTTGAACAACTTTGCGCGGCATGCATGGGCCTGCCCGATTGCGGATTTACGCATCTCTACCTTGTCCTCTCGTGGAACTTTATGTGCCGCTCCAAATCTACGGAGACGAGACGGTACCAATTTACTTTTATTCAGAGCAAAACAATATCCATTAAAATTTCGTGATAGATTCGAGCACATATCGTGTGAGGACGATGCCATTGGGTTCGTCTTTCATAAAACTAAGACTAGCCAAGAAGGTAATATCGCAATTTTTGTTTCGATTGGTTGGCGTGGAACAATATCGTTGAACTATTTGTAGGAACAAAAAACTAGGACCCAAAGCATTGCTTTGCGAACCCTCTAAAGCCGCAAGTGTGTTTGTTTTTAACAATGGGAAGTTATTTGGCGTGCAACACTCAAATCTTGCCCAACAATCCTATTCCTGGGGCGAAGCAAAAGGTATTTGTTTCATTCGATATATAAATTAAGAATTAAACAAACTGTAGGACCGCCTTGGCAAGAGCCTCGGGCGATTGTTGTCCTCCTTGCAGCAAGTGGGTGCTGGAAGTGACAAGAAAGCGAACGAAATTGGCCCGCATTCCATTCGAAAGGGCTCGGCTACATTTGTCTCGTCGGGCAGTACCGGTGGCCCGTCTATTGTCAGTGTTTGTTTGCGGTGTGGGTGGTCCTTGGGCAACGTGATGGAGCGATATTTTCGCTACGAAGCAGGGGGCGATCAATTTACTGGTCCAGTTGTTTGCGGTCTCCCAATAAATAGTGTTAACTTGGCCCAACTGCCTCCCTATTTCTCCAGCATGGCGTGTCCCGTAGTCAACGATGCGTTGGCAATTGTGTTTCCAAGTCTTTTTGGCCATGGTCACCTACTTGGTGTTTTGCGCCTGTTATTGGCGAGTCTCGTACATCACCACGAATTTTTGGTTGGCCAGTTCGCGCCAAATCACGCACTGTTATCAACGCCCTTATTTGTGAGTAGCGATTTGGTGTCAAAGCTACGCCCATTGATTTTTTCGGGGACCGAGTCCACGTTTTTGTTTGCCTCAGGCATCCCGCCCCACGTGGAGTTACTACGGCAACTGGATCGAAATGAAAAATCGATCCAA